TATTATAAAGTTTTGCCAATACCTTACACTATTTCCGTGGATTGGAAGCAAATTACGAGAGTATAAAACGGTTCGGATATCCCGAATATAGCTCTACATTACTTATGTTTATTTGTTTTCTTTATTGGAGAATGACCAGTGATGTAGGATAGACTTATATTTTTCTAGCACACTAATAAATTTTGTGATAGATGAATTTTTCCAATAAATTGTTTTCCGTGTTTCTGGTTTGATAAGCAAATAGAAGGTCTTTTATTTATGATAGTAATTGATTTTGTTTTAAAGATTTTTATGATAGGGCATTTCGTTACATTCCTAATTATGCAAAACCGAATATTTCACAATCCCAAGTGTAAATAAAATTTAAAACACAATTTCATGATTTTATATGATTTATTTAAGTGTTTACGCTGAAATAGACATTTATTACAACTATGTAAATATTTATAAATGTGTATATTTTAAGTTATATTATGTGTCATTCCGTTTCTGATGAAACTTCATAGGGCCATCATTGTTGAAATATCCTATGGCAGAGCTATCTGTGGTAATGGCGTGTGAGCGACACTGAAATAGGTAACCGGAAGTTTATTGTTGTTTCAACAAAAACAATCGGTTGGGCGTTCAAACACCATATACCACACCACAAACTGCCATTTAATACAAGACAAACAAATATCGCCGTTTACACACGTACCGCATCTGCTCTGGATTAGCTCAACGCACATTCTTCCATTCATAATGAAGTACTGATAAATTTAGGACGATTATACAAATTAATCGTGTTCATTTTTTATTTTTAAATACATTATTTCTCAAGACTCATATTATTTATCAAATTTGCTTTAAAATAATATGTTTCATATACATATGTATACAAAGAAATTAATTTATCGGCAAATACTTGCAATGTTTTACGTACTCATAAGTACAGTATAATTACTATTTTGAAAATCTATAGATATGCTGAACTTATATTATATAGACTATAAGGATAAACTTTTAAAACTTTGAAAAATACAATTTTTAGAATGACTTTAAACATTTATCCAAGCAATAATATTGTTACTTAATACGGTTGCAAACGCTAATAAAGTAAGCGTGATTTTTATGAGTTTAACGAAAAGTATAAAAGAAACATTATTTTGTGCAAATCTATAGCATAATTTCTTTGTTAAAATTTATTTTGAAGTTTTCTTTTAAATATCGAGCTATATATAAATATTTGCAATTTGTTTAACAAAATTCATACACCTCTGGTGTTTAGCAAAGTTGCTTATTATTGAAATCATTTAATAATTTTATTTGACTCTAATTTTGTATATTTATTTAAACAGCAGCAAAGTGCTTACAAATTTTTATTACTTTTATTATTTTTTCTTAACAAATTCTAATATATGTGTTAATTTACACACTACGTCTGGACAGTTCACATAAACCATTTTGTTTTAAATGTTTGGTTCATGTGTGCAAATTTGATTGCGTTTTTTTCAGTGTTAAATACTCAGATTTCTATTTAAAGGTAAATTTAATTTTTTCATTTACAAATTTATGAATGAAACTCATTCATATATTTATATTTGCTAGTTATTAGTTAATTAATTAACTTTGATGTGAAATATTTTACTTTGCTTTTGCATCATTCTTGTTTTCTTCCTTTGTGGCGGTCTTGTTAATTGTTTGTTTGTCTTTAGCATCCTGTAAATAAATGCGCCCAAAGCATGGTTTAAGAAAACAAAAAAATTCCATATTAAATATTCTCATAAGTTAAAGAGACAAATTTAAAATAGCACATCATATTAGCCATGTGAAGTGTTTATATATACGCATCTGAAAAGTATATATTAGCAAAGTGCTACACAATCTAAATAGCGATATACATATCTTTATTATTATAGCTTAATATTTAATTTTTAAAAGTAATACAAACACTTTCGCTATCATGACAGAGATATGATGTGACATTAATGTTGCCAAAAATAAATTTTGGCGAGATATGTTGGCAATTTATTCTAAGCAATCGTTCAAAGTACGTGTGACAGACGGATATTAATTATTGTATGCGCATAAAATCATAGGGAAATCATACAAGAAATCATAAATTGATACGTAGACAATATCGAAGGGTTTTAAAATATGATATTCAACAAATATGTTCCTTCAAAATAAATTTGCAAAAGCTACAAAGATCATTTGTGTTTCTCAAACTTTTAAATAAATTACCGGGAACGCAATGAAATATTTTTTATAAATTTTAACAAAATTTTAATAATATTGGAATGCAAATTTTGATATCTCATTAGTGATTTAACCTACAAGTACATTAAATAAAGATTGAGATTGATTAAAATTGACAAGATAAGTTTGAGAAATATCAAATCACTAAATCCGATTCGATATTGTTATACATACATTTGTTTTTTTTTTTTCTTATTAAATCAAAACAACACCCTTCATCGACGTAACATATAAATTATGCATAATGAAATAGGGTATAATGTTACTTATGTGTGTGTGAGAAAACATTGCTATGGATTGGTTGTTACCGTTCTTACAAAGAATATGTTAATTAATAGCTGTAGGCTCTCAATATTCTTTTACTTTAGTGTAATATTTAGGTATACAATCCATCACAAATGTTTTTTGCAGACAGCGATAATGTTGGGAATAAACAATAATTATTATTTGTGGACGATTATACCATTTAGTCTTTTCAAGATTTTACCTTTGCCTTAACGGCCTCCGCCTCCTTTTTCAAATATTCCTCCCGAGCAGTTTCGTACATAGATACAAACTTGTCACGTTGCACTTTAAATTGGGCGAATAAATCATCATTTTTATTGCCTTTGAGCCTATTTTCAATGTCAACTTTCTTGTCATACTCAGCTCGTATTTCTTCCGTAACCCAAGGCTTTTCAATGGGATACTGATTCACCAGATTTTTCAGGGTCTTAATGGTACTTTTTCCTTTTATTACCTTTTTCACTAACTTCGTGTTTGGTTTTTTAATTTTCCCAGCATTGCTAAACGGTGCTGGCGGCATAGCACGAGGCATGCGCGGTGGGATCATTGGGGGTATTGGAGGTGGAATAGGTGGTATTGGTCCAATACGTCCACTACGTCGGAGAAATGGTGGTGGCGGTTGTATACCCATTGGAGGAGGCATTGGACCTCGACCCATTGGTGGCATCGGTGGGATCATAGGTGGCTGGAATCCGTGCGGTGGTGGCATGGCCGGCATTGGTAAATTTCCTCGAGGAACTGGACCAGGTGGTCCCATACGACGTCCGCGATTTGGACCGTTTGCCGGATTTGGAGCACCATTAATAAAATTTCTTGGACCACCGACATTTCCCCCATTGAATCTATTATTAGTAGTATTATTTGAACCTTGATATTGAACTCCTTTATTTTTATTCCAATTTCCACTACCATTTTGTTGTGTTGGAGTATTTACTGGAGGTTGTTGAAATTGCGTTTGCGGTTTACCTTTAGGTCTATTTTTATTATTCTTCTTTTTATGTTGCATTTGACCCAGGCTATTTCCACCGCCAATACCTACCGGTGGCGAAGGGTTGTTGAAATCTAAATAACCAGGATTATCAGGAATTTGACTACCATTGAACATCATCGGATTGAAATTGCCGTGATGTACTGGTCCCCCACCACCATTCCCCAAGTTCTTGAATGGTTTTTTGTATGGTATAGCCGCAGCTCTGTGCATGGGTCTGCCATTTTGAAAATTTTTTGCCATTCTCTATTTCGAAATCTTTGAAAAAATACAAGTCGCTTTTCTGTAATATTTCCAATAAATATAAAAATTGTTTTCGACCACTTTGTATATAATGATTATATTTCTTTACTAATGGAAGCTAATTTATTCTACAAAATACAATTTTTAATGGTTTTTAAAGCACTGTACAATTATTTTGTAACATTACGTTTTCTTACTTATCAAATTTAGAGAAAGCAGACAGAAAAATAGGGTTGAAATTAGGATTGGGGAACGGACGAAAATGGAACAGTGTACAGAGAATTATATATGCGAAATTTTATTGAATTTATACCAACTCCGAATTAAAAATTTTCTTATAACTATTATTGTTTATAGTCCGTAGTCTCAATGAATATCATTGTTTGAGTTCACTAGAATGCTTTTAACAAATTCACAATATCCACATTTGTGAATATTTTTTTTGCAACAGATTTGTCTCCTATTTGTCAATGCAAAAGTGGATGTAGATCTTTTATTTTTAACATGTTTATTACATGCTTTTTGTAATTATATTTGTGTTAGCTTTGCCCTGGGCTCAGCTCGCATTGAAGCTTTTAAATAATAAATAAAAAGTTGATTAATAAATTTGACTAAATACATAGTGTGTACTCGAATATTATACCGTGATGATCGGTGGTAACCAGAAAATCAAAATTTGTCTGATATACGCTATTGATGCATTGTTATTTTCAAAAATTTCGTCAAACAATCATATGCCAAAACAATATTTTTCAATTTTCAAATTTATTTTACAAGCAGATTTAATCCTTCAAAATACATATCTGAATATTTAAATTTTAATAAAAAATATCTTGTCCTTTCTAATACCATAAGCCATACAAATGTGCGTATGTCTACAAAGTTTCATGTTAATATTAAAATTTAGAGCATATTTAAACATGACTTTTCTTTAAGTTATTGTATTTTTTAGTTTAATAATTTAATTTAATAATTTTGTTGACAACATTTCCGTACGTTGTCATCTCACTAAAAGCAACTTTTTATAGAAACTAATTAATGAATTCAATTATGACTATAAATAGGGAATAACCTCAATAATTTTATTATATATAGAGTGCATCGAAGTATCAGGAGCCTGTCATTCAGTTAAATTTCATCAAAATGGAATACCATGAGAACACTGCCTGCAAAAGGTTTATATATATTCTTGCTTACATATTTAAGCTTAAAAATTATACGATATTTTTTTAAATATACACACGTATAAATCAATATATTTAGCATTTATTGCGAAAACTTTACTTATTTGAAAATTAAAAATATTTTTATTGTGTAGCCCCTTTTTTGTCCAATCACCCAAACGCCTTATGATAAAACTTCATTGTAATAACAATTGTTCAAGCTAAAAAAACATGAGAAAAAAATCTTACCTAAAAACAATTACAAAATTGTCAATGAATCTTTAACATAGAAAATTACAAATTATACATATATAGAAAACTTAAATCATTAACGGCAAATAAAATTACATTTCTTCAATTTAAATTATAATAGGTAAATTTTTCGTTGTAAGTTTTCGGCTGCTTGCAGCGGGCGACATTTTGGACGGTGTGAGTGGATGGTGAAACCCAGCACGGGGATTAGGCAAGTGTACAACACAGCTATCACTTGGATGAATTCGTTTGGACCGAGTGGAAATAGTCGATGAGGTTGCAGCAATGCGTGAAAAAGCCGTGTGTATTATAGAAGAACGTGAATCGGGATCAATGCTTTTCTGGAAGGATTCATATGCATCATCTGTAGCTTCATCAGTGTTCCAATCAGAGCCATCATTTATAAGAATTTTTGGTGTAGCAATGGTATTTTTCTTTACGGTCTTACCCAAGGAGGACCGCTTTTTGTTTCCAGAACTTTTACGCCCCGACCTACGACGTATTGTGGTTGCAATGACACGTGATTTCTTCAAAGGCGATTTGAAGGATTTTGTTGAGCCTGTATTACGAGCGTTTATCATTGGTTTTGTGAAAACGCTAGGACTGTTCAGTGGAAAAACTAAACTTCGTTTAGCCAACGGGGTATTTCTTTCATTTTGAAGCAGTTTCCGTTTCTTCGCTGAGTTGGCAGAGGCAGACGGGAGTGCGGATAAGTTAGTGTTAGAGGGGGCTTTACGCATTGAAATCATTGAACCGTTTTTCGCTGACATAGGTGTTCGACCTGTAACTGGATGAGGGGTTTGAGCATTTTTACGTGCACTGCTCATTTTCTCCTTTTCTTGACGTTTCTTCTCCCATTCTTTTTCCATTAACTCTAAAATATTTTCGCCATAAACACGAAACTCTTGATGCTCTTTTTCTTCAAAGGCAACAACTAACTCTCGAATCTGTTGCTCAATTTTCGGCAATTTAGTAGCGATTGTTTTGCGTTCCTTTTCTTCTTTAAGTAATTGGCCTCCACGATTATTATACCGGCCTGGATCTGAAGCTTTAGCCTCGAGAGCAATCATTCGATCCCAAAGCAATCTCCTATTATCGAAAAGTTCAAATATCTGCCGATTATTTTCATAAAATCGTTTTATATCCTCCAACTCAATTTCATGTAATACTAATAGATCTTCTGTATAACAATTATTGTGAAAGTTAGAAAAACGATTTCTCTCTGTTTCCGATTTAAGTGTTTTATCCCACCATTCCACAATTTCTGTTCGGATTTGTTGGAGGCATTCTTTTATATTTTGACTCTGCAAAGATTCGCATCGCTGCAGTTCGTCTTTAAGTACATTATACGTTCGCTGGTTATATTCTGTATGACGCTTAAATTTATTTCGAGAGTTCGGCGATGTTTTCAAGCGCACCCAAAGGGAATCTAATTTCTTACGCATACTATCTATGCGTTCAGACAATGCCTGTACCCGCGCCCCATATAATTCTTGCATACGTTTGAGCGCTTTAAAAGTCTCTTCATTCAATTTAATTTGTCTGTGATTTAATAGTCTGTCTTCCGTGTCGGTATTAACTTGTGTCTCTAATATGTTTAAATAATTTTTTATCTCCCGGCGTAATACTGACATCTCATTCAAGCGTTCCATACGCTCCATCTTTAGTTGATCTAAGTGAGTACGAAATTCCAAAATATCCTCTTCTGAAGGTAAAGGGTCAGCCAAAAGAGGACGAGGAGCTTCCCCCAACTCTTCACATAGACCTTCTTGCTCAAGTAACAACTCGCAGATTTCTTCTCGGCGCCGCCGTAATTGCTCTCGCAATTCAGTTAAACTTTTATCCATTTTCGACTGGAGAACCAACAAAGGTACATTTTTTTCATCAATTCTGGGGAACTCCACGTCTGTTTTTAATAAACGACAAAGCATATCTGCTTCTTTTTGCAACTCCTTTATTTCATTTTCTATAAGTCCTCTTCTTTGCAATGACTCTTCTTTCAATTCCGTAAAAAATGTTTTCACATGTTCCTTCAGTTTTTTAAAATTATATAAGCACATTTCTTCATCAAACATTTCCGTCCATATTGAAGCAAGATCGTTAACATTTTCTGCCATTAGCCTTTGCAGCTCCAAATTCTCCTCCTCAAAGTCAGCCATTTTACAGATTTTCTCCCGTTACTTCTGAAATCACAATAAATTTATTTATTCACTTTATATAATTATTTTTATCCATAAATATTAAATCGTACCTTAGTGTATAAAAATTTAATAACAACACTTATTTACAAAAAATTATTACACAACACAAAAATTCTCAACTTGAAATGTTCACCGCGCTTTATCACTTTTCAGTTGTAAATTTAATTTGAAACATGTTGATGTCTCTAAAACTATCGATAAAAGTTTCAATAGTAAACAGCGTTGTATTTAGGGTTTACTAGTGCCAAATTATATCTAATATATAGCTAACCCTATGTCCCGACTCAAATATTTCTAAAACTGTTTTCAAATATTTTTCAAGCAAATTTAAACATTAATTATTCATACTATTTTAAAAAGTTAATCTTAAGCGAACTCACGAGAATTAACCAGATATTGAGAAAATCTTTTTTCCATATGTTGCCGATAAATTTTTTGTGAAGCGCTTAACCATATATTAAGAAAACTGCTCTAAGAATATTATATCATTTAGAAAGTGAGTCAAATTCAACGGACATTCAAGTTGTTTTGTATTTAACAAAAGTCAAACGAATTATGTGATGCATCAAATCATTACTTTTATATCTTATTTTACCGTATACTAGATATTTGTGTCTGCTGGAATATTACATAGTACCGAGCACAGAATGTTCGAGTGGCGATGTTGTGGTAATGGTTTACAACATTAGCTGAGGTGGTAGCAAGTACAATTCCAAAATCAAATATATTTGCGAGTAGTTTGTAGTTGCAGAATGTTTGAGTCAGAGATAAAGAGATGATCATCTCCCCTTTAAGTGCTGAACTCATTGGGCGCGACAGACTGCAAGCGACATTTGTCAAATATTAAAATACACATGTCCCTCTCGCTAACTTCGATATTTTTTATATTTGCCAACGACAGTAGAGTTGACAGTAGAGAGATAAGGTAGAGTGGTGATGCCACTGATATGTAAAATTATTCAAAGCTCTAACAAACCTGACGTTATGTTTTAAATAAATGCATAAAATTGCTCTATTATATCATTTGTAATAAAAATTGATAATTTAAAAGAAATAATTTTATCTATTTATCTTTTTTTGCAAGGTATTAGTATTTACACAAGCAAATTGTGTACATGCAAAATGGACAGCTGTGTTGTCTTGTGTACATGTCGGCCATTAATATGTTGCTTCCTTCTCACAAATGTTCATGTAAAAATTCACGACGCCATTTTCAGTTCACTGTCGTGCTGCTGCAGTCTGTCGCGAGCATTGTGTTCCTCACATGACAGAAATTTTGGGTAACAAATACTTTTTATTATGCATAACACATAGGTAAGCTATGCGCTAACAAAGGTATTTGTTACCCTGACTGTTAAGAGATTCGATAACAAATGCATGTCATTCTGTTAGAACAAGACAACATGCCATATTTGCCATTGGTTAGAGCGAGAAAATCATTGAACATCATAAAAAAAGGGAAATAAGCGGATGCCTTTAAAAGCTTACGGATGGCTGTGCTGCCTCTGAACTACCAGTGGAGCCTCTGGGGGCACAGGAGCTTACCGATCTGCAGGATATCCTCATGGAAAAGGTGGTTAGGTGTGTGGACCCGGTACCCTTCCATGGGGTTACATTCCGCTCATGCACTGCCTGACGGTCTACCTCCCCAGAAATGCGATATAACCGAACAAGTTTGCTCTGGAGCTCTTTATAAACCAGAAAAGAGGGCTTAATATCTCGACCTTACGTGTGGTAGAGAGCAAAGAGAAGAATTCCGGATGGAAAGCGGACGAGGAGGCTACTCGTCCCTGCACCAGTACGGCTAAGCAGGCTACAACTGCGGAGGCCACAGTGCAAGTCTCCTTCACCCAAGAGCTTCTAGAGGGACTTCAAAACCTGGATGTCGGTGCAGAGGAGGACCAGTTCCTCATAGAACCGATCGCAAGTGAACCTGCATCACACGACGTCAGCATCCGCTGTCATCGCGAGTAGGTTCTCGTCGAATAACCTGGGAGTCCTGATAATACAAAAGCCAGGGGTCCACAAAGGAGAGGTCAGGAGCCAAATCTTGGACTCCAATAAAGTAATTTGGAATCTCTCTAGTGGGAGACCCCAAAGATCTATAGTACTTAGAAAAATTATGATTACTTCTGTTTTTCAGAGTTCTTTGATCCTGGTGTGTGCTGCGAACGCGCACCATACTGAATGGGGTAGTACGGACTGAAATTCGCGAGATGAGTGTCTAATAGAATTTATTTTTGGTCATAATCAAAGCATTAAGAATAGAGGGTGCGAACCCACATTAGGAAATGCTGGACATCACCCTGAGTAACGACTGATATCACAGTGGAGGGTGTCGTCAGAACCTTCATTGTCGGATCACAGGATCTTGAGATTCAGGCTAGGGGTAGAGGTGCACTGATGATGTGCAATCGGTGGGGTAAAATCTGGGGGTGTAAGCCAAGGATTATCAGATGGTTGTACACCATGGTGCAAACAATTTAAAATCTGCAACTCACCCCGCTACACCTAGTTATCGGTCAAGTCGTCAAACACGTTCTGCTCTAAAATGACAGCAGAAAGGAAAAAGTAAGGTAATGTCTTGTCAACGTTTGAATGCGCTAAATGGCGTCATAACACTGTCACATCTCCCTAGTGGTGCGAATCCCTCAACAACTCCTTCCATTTGGTAAACTAATCGAAATTGGAATTGAATCAATATTTGTATGCTTTAATTATCGTTTAATTAAAGCTACGATTTCTGATTTCTTTTCTGTTGACAACACCATGTTCACTTTACTTTACTTTTTATTCGAAAGAAAATGGATGGAATCGATTAAAAACCCCTCTCACTCCCCATATATCAATCAATCAATCAATAACTAAGTGGCTAGAGACTTAATTTACCGGCGGATGGTATGAGTGGGCTTTATAGGGGGCATTGTAAAAATTTAACGTTGGGCGTGCACCGCCTACTTTTTGGTGATATCCCATATCTCGGGACCCGACTGTCTGATTTCTACAAAATATGGTATATGGTATTTTTCATATTTTTATGTCACGTTGTTAAAATGGGCGAAATCGGATAATAACCACACCTTTTTCCTACGTAGCACAATTTTAAATTCCACTTGATTCGTTCAGTTTGCAGTACACAAATCAAGAAGCAATTAATATAACGAGATAAAACTTTGCACTAATAATGCATTTAGTATTTGGCACCTTATGACCAAAAATTGTTTAAATCCAACAAAAACTTTTCAAGTCCCTAGGTACCGAATATTTGGACTCCAGTACCTATAGTTGACTTTTGTTCGAAAATATCGGTCAATATGTGATATATATAATTGCAATTCAGGAATAGTACTTCTATGACAATGGTATGTCAGTATGTCCCCATATATCTAATATAAAGATAATCGAACTATAATCGTACCGCATATATCGGCTAACATGCAAGTTATCTCAACGAAAATGAGCTAGCGGGTTTTACTTATAACAGTGTATCTTTGTGCCTCAAATAGACACATTTGAGAGAAAAGTTGGTTTAGCCTCTATATCAAGATTTGCGAACATCCGGCTGATTTTATTCTATATGATTGGTTTTACACCTTGAAGTATTTCTCTGGCTCTGATTTTTGTAATTTTCAAGAGTATAAAATATTTGGTTGCACCCGCACTTAGCTATTCCTTACTTGTAAGAAATTAGATTCTTCTTAATATAAATAGTTTAACATCGGTGACAGTGAAAATGAACTCTTTTGACCTCAGCTTTAAAGAGAGATAACCAAAGACAGCTGACACAATTAAGCTCTTGAAGTCGGTAAATTATTTTCGTTATTTCTAACTAGAATAGTAATAATATTGTTTGTAAATTTCAATGATGTGCAGAAGTATCCAATTGCATGCTTAGACCTTAACCATGAATAGTAACGCAGATACTTAAAAATTTGTTGATTCGCTATAATAAAATAATGTGTAATAAAGATTAAGTTAATTTCGAAGTGTTTATTAGTCCATTCATTACAAAGTTGGACCTATCCCTATTGCACTAGAAATTATATTTAAAGCAGTAATTATTAATTTTACGTATACACTACTTATATTGTTAGTGTTTGTTTTAATAGCACGGAATGTGCTGACGTGACTATTCTGCCGTGGATCTGCTTTAAGATCCACATTTTTTGTAGTTTAACTTCTCAAAAATCATGGCTCGAGTGTGGTCAAAATATTGATCTTACTCTGATGATTGAGCTAGTTGTAGAAGAGAACTACTTTCATTTTCTGCTTGCGCTATTTGCTGATGAGGTTGATGTTGCATAATTTTTACATGATCACCACTTGGTTCTACCAAATTGTTGGTAGGAATTCCTCCTACAACTAGTGCCGGCACTTCACTAGTAGCGAATCTCTGTAAACGACCCGTTGCAGGCTCCATGTATGTACCATGAGCTGCAAGTGCATGTTGCCGCAGTGCATACATTTGTAGGAACCCTGCATCACATTCAGGGCATTTGAAACGTTCACCTGTATGTCGTCGTATATGTGCTTTTAAATCATTGCTTTGAGCAAATCCACGGCCACATTCCTCGCATTTGAAAGGCCGCTCTCCAGTATGAGTACGCATATGAATGGTCAGATTGTAAGCACGATGGAAACCCTTGCCACATAGATTACATAAGTTTGGTTTGGTACCCGTATGATATCTGAAATATATTCAATCAAAAGAATAGGCGAAAATATTAATACTTTTTCGAAAGTGAATAAAATATTTAAAAACTACCTTTCATGTATTTTAACATCAGTGGCACGTGGAAAACCTTTTCCACAATATTGACATTTATATGGTTTTTCGCCATTATGACGTCGCATATGTACACGCAGATAATCATTGCGTACAAAACTTTCACCGCATACTGAACAAAGGAAATTTCTTCGATCACTATGATGGCCCTTCTCATGTTCACGTAAAGCTTTACGTTCCTTAAAAGTGTCCTCGCAAAATTTGCAAGCAAATACGCGGTCCGTATGCATCAGTACATGTTTTCGAAGGTAAGTTCGGCTTGTAAATTTTTTCCCACAATATTCACAATTGTGAATCTTATGAGCCTGAGGATCGTTACCATGACGGGTTTCTATATGCTTCGCCAGATCTACAGAACGTGCAAATGCGCTGTTACATTGATCACATTTGAATTCTTTCGTATGGT